ATGTATACTGCAGACAGTGAACTGGAGGGCCAGTGCCATCTAAGCTCCTTTAAAACTAATGTCCAGACATCAGATGTGGAGACACAGGGTCTGGTGTTTGCCCTGCTGGGTTTAGGTTTTTCTGTGGCGCAGTGTTTCCTCTCCATGACCCCATTCCTCTGCTTTGGGATGCTAATGCATCGTCTATGCCATTATATGGAGGAAATACATAATTTGTGCTTTTACTATTACAATTTAAGAGATTGTTTCAAGTCTCAGAAAAGACTTTGGGCTTTTTTATTTGTAGACAGTGCTGGAGACTGTAAAAAAGACTACGGGGACCTTTGAAATTACACTAAATGCATTTTAATAGCTATGAGCCTATGGGGGCAAATAGGAGAATGATGGTTTGAATGAGAAATCTCCTTCATAGGCTTGGGTATTTAAAAACTTGTTCCTTGGCTTATGGTGTTGTTTAGGGGGAAGTAGGAGGTGTGGCCTTGCTGAAGAAGTAAATCACTGGGTATAGGCCTTGAAATTAGATAGTCTTACCTATTTCCAATTCGCTACTCCCCACACCCTGCTTCCTGCCCACGTTCATCGATGTGATCTCTTAGCTTCTGGCTTCTGTTGCATCCCTGCTGATTGCTCCCATGTCTCCTTCCTGTGATAGACTCTGAAACCAAAGGCCCAAATAAACTCTATCTTCTTTAAGGTTCCTTGGTCTTGGTATTTGTGGTGGTTTGAATATGCTTGGCCCAGGGAGGTGTGGCCTTGTTGGAGAAAATATGTCACTGTAGGCGTGGCCTTTAAGACCCTCATCCTAGCTGCCTGAAAGTGAGTTCTTTCCTGTTTGCCTTTGGAACATGTTGGGTTTTCAGCTCTTCCTGTGACATGCCTGCCTTGGTGCTGCTGTGTTCTGGCCTTGATGATAATGGACTGAACCTCCAAACCTGTAAGCCAGCCCCAACTAAATGTTGTCCTTATAAGAGTTGCATTGGTCATAGCATCTGCTCATAGCAGTAAAACCCTAACTAAGACAGTATTTTATCACAATAACAAAAAGGAACTAATGTATTTCCTTACTTTTTCTATAAGTTTCAGAGTTGTAGGCCTTTATGTTTAGGTCTTTGATCCATTAGAAGTTGATTTTTGCACAGGGTAAAAGGTAAGACTCTACTTCCGTTCTTTTGTGTGTGGTTATCCAGTTTTCCCATCACCATTTATTCAAAATGTTACCTTTTCTCTAATGTATAATTTCTTTTTGCATCTTTGTCAAAGATCAGGTGGCTGTAGCTACATGGAGTCATATCTGTGTTTTCAGCTGTATTTCACTGGTTTACTTTTTGGCTTTGTGCTGATACCATGTCCATATGGAAGTCAGGAATGGTGATTCTGCCAAGCAATTTTCATGTAGGATTTCCTTGACTATCAGGGTCTTTTGTGCTTTTATAGGGATTTTAACATGTTTTGTGTTTCTGTGAAACATTGGGTTCTAATGAGCATTGCTTTTGATGAGATAGTTATTTCCACATATAATTCATCTAATCCACGGTCACGGGAAGTCTTTTTTATCTTCAAGTGTATTTTTCTATTTTTTTCCTTCAGTGTTTTAAAGTTTTCATTATTTTTCACATCTTTAGATTGTTTTTTTCTAACGTGGTTGTGTGCCTTCTCCCAGCTTGTTTCTTAGTCTACATGTAGAAGGTCCTTACCTTCTGCTAATCACAGCTAATCACAGGATTGTTGATAGATGAGGGGAGTTTACCACAGTGGAGAGTGGAAGAGCTGGCTTTAATTCTCTTTACTTTCTATTTCCTTTTTTAAAGATTTGTTTATTTTAATATATATATATATATATACATACATATATATATATATATATATATATATATATATATATATATATGCTATAGCTGTCTTCAGACACACCAGAAGAGGGCATCAGATCCCATTACAGGTGGTTGTGAACCACTATGTGGTTGCTCGGAATTGAACTCAGGACCTCTGGAAGAGCAGTCAGTGCTCTTAACCGCTGAGCCATCTCTCCAGCCCCTACTTTCTATTTCCTAACATGATCTTCCTGAAACCTTCCTAACAACAAGACTTGGGGGTGCTGATTGTTTCAAGTATTTCCTTCTCTTTATTCTTTGATTTTTTTTTTTTTTTTTGTCCACTTTAAGATCTGAACCAAAGGTCATCATTCACCGAGGACAGGCCAGCAAGGAGCATGAGAGAACTCAAGAGTTAGTCCTGGCAGCTAGACAAAGCTGGTCCCATCTTTCTGTTTTCTGAGGATGATTTGGACATCTGTGCATCTAAATGAGGTACCTACCCGTCAGCTTTGATGAATATAGTAAGCACACAGGGCAGTCTAGTGAGCCCGCTTCCTTTTATTATTTGATGATGCTCAGACACTGCAATAGAACCCCAAGTGGGAGGAGTGTCCTAGCCTAGGGGAGGGAGAAACTTTGTGTTAGGATTTTCCAGGGATAAGGAGAGTCTTTTTTCTAGTCTTCTCCTGCATGTATGTGCAGCAATTCTGTTTGTGTGCACAATATTTGTGTGTGTGCACGCATGTGTGTGTGCGTGTATGTGTGTGTGTGTTTATGCATCTCTGTGTGTGTGGTGTTTAGAGGTGTGTGTGTGTTTTCTTGCATCTGTGTGTGTGCGTGTTGTTTAGAAGTATGTGTGTGTGTGTTTTTGCATCTGTGTGTGTGTTGTTTAGAGGTATGTATGTGTGGTGTTTAGAGGTGTGTGTGTGTGTGTGTGTGTGTGTGTGTGTGTGTGTTTAGAGGACATTGCAAATAGAGAGGGAAAATAAATGCCTGAAGTAGCTGCTCTCAAGGCTCCAGTAGACTCAGGTGAAGGCTACTCAACACTGCTCATCTCCGCCTCACCACACTCTCCTTATGATGTTGTGTTTTCACTTCTCTCCCTATTGCCTGCTGACTTCCAGCCTCGGGAGTGACTCCACCTCCACCTCGTCTCTTACAGCATCTGTCTGTCCCAAGGTTATTGCCAAGAGCTTATGGAGGTAGAAATTAGGTGGCAGAGACGGGGAATTAAGGAAAATGGGAGCGAATGGCATGAAGATGAACAGTTCATTCTCGAGTTGCGGGATTCCTGGGTAACAGTGACTAGAGAGATGCTCAGAAGCTTGGTGAGTAGGAAGACAGCCTGAAACCCAGCCATCAGATGCCATGCACGTGCCTGGGAGCTGTCTCTGCCTGTCAGCATCAGCACGCATTCACCTTGGGCTAGGAATCCTGCAGAAGGAAAGCTTACGGTAGAGATGAGAGAGGCTGGGGGCCTGGAGTCAAGGCCAGAGGGACATGGCTAACTGGGACTGTCCCACTCACCCTGCATGGCTGGTACTACACCACACTCTGCAGCTTAATCATGCAAAGCTGCAGGCTGACAAACCCACCTCAGTGAAACAAGTGGCAATGTCTGTGATCATCAAATAGCCCTGTCTGTCATCCTAGTTGTATGAGAGTATGCAGTGACCCAGCAGCAGGAAGAGGTTGATACCTCAGAGAAGAGCAAAGTGTGGCTGGTGCATCAGAGCATGATGACTTAATCACCATTACCTCAAGGACAGCTGCAGGCAAGTACCAGCCATGTGCTGGCTATGGCAAACACTCTTGGCATTTCCTCCTTTCACTATGCCAAGAGCCCAGTGGGGTTCTTTCCCCCACTCTACAGATTGAGCAAACTGAGGCCAAACCCACTAACTTGGCTTAGGGCTCTGCACTGATGGGTGGCAGAGGCAGAGATCAAGCTGACATATCCAGTGTTACTAGCTGTAGCTCTTGTCTACCTTGTTCAGACAAACAGACCAAGTCTCAGAAATGGACACTGTAGAGTCAAGTCCTCAGGGTGGGCATTTGTTCAGTAGATGGTTAGGACCAGCTCTATCTGGGTCTGGATAATGACTTGCTGGGTTCTGTGACCAGTTTCTCAGCTCTCCAGCCTCTGCTGCTGCATCTGCCCAGGACATGAGAATTAAAGTTGACATCTCTGCTCACTGCCTGGTTGCAACCCAGGTGTTCATGACACGGACTGCCCAGCCAGCCTCTGACACTCTCCCAACCAAGGTGAACGGCTCTGCTGCTGACTACAGAGACTAGCATGTTTTCTTCCAAACTCAGAGACAGGGGCATTCTGGGAGGTGTTTGCAGCCATCCAGAACCTTCAGGTTGCTCATAGCTCAGTGGAGGGTTCACACAAGGCAGATGTGCTCTCACCCAAAGCCACACAAAGGCACGTCAGAGCTACTGTTCTGAGGGACATCTCACGCTCTTTATTCCATGTTGTTGCCAGAGAAAACCGAAAATTGAATGGCAGTCCCTTGTTGTGAGGAAGGGCAGTGCCTGGCATCAACTCAGACAGGTGCCCAAGTCACCTGCCACTCTTGGGCAAACGCACACTCATATGCATGCCAGCGTGTGTGTGCATGTGTCCCTGCCAACATGGAGCTGACTGTTCCTCTTCCATAAGCAAGAACTCTGCTTTGGACTCTCCAGCACATCCTTTGGTCCTATATTTTGAGACAGCCTTCGTTTCTTGTGCCGGTATCGCTCCTTCTCTGACTCCCTGTTCATCTTTATCTGCTGGTCTTGGATAGCCTCTGTGTCCATGTTCCCTTCTCTTTGCCTCTTACTTTGTCTATGCTTCTTTGTGTCTCAGACATTGCCTCTCTCTGTTTCCCAACTTTCTTTTTGCCTTTCTATTGGACTCTCTACGTCTCTCCATCTCTCTCTGTCTCCTCCTATCTCTGCCTTTCCCCCACCTTTGTCTCTGTTTTCCTGTGACACTCTCCTGGAAATGCTGAAAAGTGGCCGAATTTGAAGTGACAAACAGCACTACACTGAGAATCCGCCCCCAGGCTGCGCGAAGCATCCTCCTCCACATCACATCACCGGGAGCAGCTATTGTGTCTCACTCAGGCCCAGGGAGTTGAGTGGAAGGACCCTGGGGTCTGGGCTCTGACTGCTCTGCCACTCCCCCATTGGCTCCTGGCAGCCTGTGCTCTGTGAGCAAGCGAGCGCTGAGAGAGCTGAGCGACAGGGGGAGACTCTCATCTATAAAAGGGGAGTAAGGCTCCAGAACTGCCAGAGGGAGATTTGGTAGCCCTTACCGCTTCCTCTGTGGCACTTCTCTGAGCTAGAGTTAGGGTGCCTTCTGAATATTGGATCGGCCACCCTACCACCTGATCAGCCAGAAGCCTGCCAGGGACAAAACAGTAAGCAGGTAAGATCCGCAGGGAGCTCAGACACTTTGGCTTTATGCATGTGCTCCTGATGCTATCTATGCAGGGGAACTAGTGCGAGCTTGGGGGGCGGGGGGAGTTAGGTTTGGTTTTGGTTACTCAGCACAGGAAATCACAGTTTCAAGGCTAGTTTGCAAAAGCCCGCTCAGGGAGTCCAAAGAGCTGCCTGTCCTCTGGAACCCATGCCCTGAACAGTCCTGGCTTCCACAGGTGCTAGCGGTGCTTCGGCTCTGCCAGGTAGCAGTCCCCACGCTAGTTTTCAGGGTCTGAGGAGAAGGGAGCAGCCTGGGTGGAAGACCAAGAGGTTTCACTAATTAGCCTGATCTTAAAGGTCAACGTTCTCATTGGACTTAGATTACACGGGTTGGGAACATTAATGAGGTTCAGGACTCCGCATTTACCAAACACCAATCGACACCATCAATGTATAATAAGTGCTGTCCTTTTTACTCTTTTGAATCACATTTAATCAGTGACAAGGTGCTGATTTGAGTGGCTTCCTTTGATTTCACTCAGAATGAAGTCTGAGGTTGTTTGGTTGAAGGAGAACTAGGAAGGAAAGCAAGAGCTGGATACCCAGTCTGAGGAGGACTTTCCTTGCCAATTTTACTTTGAAAGGACTTGTTGCTTTCCTGTAAATCACAGCCACATCGCTGCTGGAGGCAGCTAAGTTAGGCTGGAGGAAGCTCACTTGAGGAAAGCCATGGGCTCTCTGATAGCAATGCCCATGTTTAAAGAAAATATTGTGGAACCCCAGAGTTTGACATCAGCACAAAGCTGGTGAGCTTCGGAGAAGGCGACTGTAGATTACTCCACGACTGAATAGTAAATTCTGTGTCTTGTTACTTTTCCCTGGGTGTTTTTTTTTTTCTTTTTCTGAGAACCTCTCAAGATTTACAAGTATCCCTTAATAAAGCCTCTGAGCTCTTTAGGTTATTGGATCTGGTTTCAAGTACCCTCCCACAGATAGCAAACCTTCATTATCACCCTTCTGCCAAGGGTTGGTGAAATACACACTGATATCTTTCTAATCTGACAGGCATTGCTGTCAAGATCTGTTGCAAAACCTTTCAGAATGTCAGTCCTTTTCTGTTCCTTGTCATGGGGGCTTCACTCCTACGCTTTGCTCACCCTCCTCCCCTGCTTCCCTCACTGGTGCTCCCATCCCACCCCACTTTGTCTTTTGTTCTGTTTTTGCAGGTCATTCATCCCCAGGCTTTGAGATCTGCGTGGGGGGAGCTCTTGAAGCAGCCCCAGCAGGGTGAGTTATGTGTGTGTGTGTGCGCGCGTGCGTGTGTGTGTGTGTGTGTGTGTGTGTGTGTGTGTGTGTATTGACACAATCCTGAGCCCACTGCTTTGTCCTCATTGTGCTAAGTGTGATGGGTGGCAGGTGACTCTCCTTGTCTCCAGGAGCAGCTGGCAGCTGGGAGTGTGGTGTCACAGCAGTTCCACGGATGCTGTGTGGTAGAATCCACTGTTTTGACAAAGTAGCCTACTCAGGTGGCTGGGTCTGGGTTGTTTGAGAAAACATATGGAAGGATATGATAATTCTCAGGACTTCTGGAGCATTACCTCAAGAATTTTCCATGTATTGCCTAACTGTGTGTGGCTATGCCTGAGCCTGTGTTGAGTTCAAACCCAATAGTCATCCCTTATTTGCTGCATGTAACTTTGCAACGATAGCTTTCCCTTTTAGGGTCTTAATCGCCTCACCAATATAATGAGGATAATAATAATGTCCTTTCCCCTATGTCACTACGAGGCTCCCATGGCAGGCTGTAGGCACCTGGCATTTGGTAGGCACTCAGTAAATGCTATTATGGCCACCTCTCTGATGACTCAAAATGTCAGGCTTCAAAATGAACCCCTCCCCTCTCTTATAAGACATCGTCATTCATGCCATTCCATCCTGCTGTGTGCTCTTCCAGGGAAACCTGACAAAAGTCAAATATTTCTAGGGGCCAGTGTTTCTTGCCCCACTCCTACAGATGACGCCATTGCTTTATCTGCCGCTCTGCACCCCCACCCACCCCTGAACAATGAAGTCCCTCCCTGACATTCTGTCCCACCTCCAGTTATCCTAGCACAACTTTTCTATTTATTAGATTTCTCCCTCATTCTCTGAGGAGTCGGCATCTTCTCAGTGCATTTCTGAGAAGATGTGGTCAGCAGATAATCTCTCTCACCAGTTTGCTCCTCTTGGCTGATAAGTGATTGACAGATCTTACTGGGTCTGACAAGATGCTAAAACAACCTAACCGACTCACAGCTAACCACAGTAGAGGGAGATGGTAACATCAACTGCATTGTGTCCCCAAGTCCTTTGCAGCTCAGCCTGGATCCCACTCCTTACTCCCACAGGAGCGCAGTGGCCATATCTATGAGGCAGGTGGCAGGCTCAGGAGTTCCCCTCACCCTACTCCCAGATGCCCACTGGCCAGAATTCTTAGCCACTAGCTGCAGATGTACTCATTGGGAGTAATGTGTCCACAGTGGCTTCAACTGCCTTTGTTCCCAGTTTAATTCTATTGAACTTGATAAAGGTTTACCGAGAAGTTATTATGTAGCTCAAGGGGCAGACTGGGGGAGGAGCAGGACACCACACTGGCATTTGCCTCAACTTCTTTGCCCCTTCCCTCTCTTTCTCATTCACCCATCCCCCTCCCAGTATCTTCACTGCCCCGCCCCTCCTCCCACTCCCACCCCATCCTTTTCCTTTGACTCTTCGTCTCTCTCTCCCTGCCCTCTCATTTTCCTTTTGTCTGTCTCCTTGTAACTGTTCCAAATGGCAATAAGGGAGGAGATAACTTACAAATCCAACAGATGAGAAACATTCCTTTAAAACTGCAGCTAATGCTATCACTGAGACCCTGACCCCCCGGGACGACAGGACTGTGTTTCTATCTGTCTCTGCACTCAAATATGATGATGACCTTTGGGTAAGACCCGCTCCTATGTCTACGCTTTGACACTTGCAGAACAATAGGTTGGCTCATTTTCTGTTCAGGACCCAGGCCACTCTGCAAACTGATCATCCAGGCTCTATGAGTGATCATATCTCAAGAAGGAGCACTTCTAAGTTTCAGAGCCTTCCTTCTCCAGCCCCTTGGGAACCCACCAAAATGAACTTGCTGTTTTCCAGTAAGGTGAAAAGTCCTGAAATTGTTTCATTTTCAGGGGTGCATGAAAGTCTTGGGGATAGCCCACAGGACATGCCATGTGCCCCTACACCTCTAAACTCTTTGAGTAGTCGACAGATCAATTCCGTGCCTAGTTCCTATCTCTCTGACCCACTGTATTCCCATCTAAGTGGGACCAATAGTGCCCAGATCACTGGTGGAGGTAATTCACATAAAAGATGTAAAGCATGCGGCCCCCAGGTGGGAGATGCTGTGAATTCCCGCCATGCCACTAGGGGTGCTGTTTCTCTCTGCCCACAGTTTTCCCATAGGGATTAAACCTTTACTGATAGCCTGTCTTGAGGAGCCATCTGGAGGCATCTTGCCTGGCACAGAGCAGTGGCACAGTCTTTGATAGATTCTAGGGTAGTTGTCACTAGAGAGTCACAGAAACAATGGCGTGTGTCAAGGTGGGTGTGAGAGCTGGAGTCCTGACTCATTGTATGACCTTAAGCAAGTGACTTCATTCTTACCTTTCCCCATTTCCTCTTCCTCCAAATAGGAATAATCATATGCATACATTGCTCCCAGAGATAATTGTGATGTTAAATCATGCTATTATTATTCAGCCCTGGCTTTTCAAATAAAAATGCTTGCTGCCTCTAGAGCCCTGGCTGACTACAGTAGAAATGTCTCTGAGCAGGGGAGGCAAAATCAAATCAAAACAAAATCAACCCTTTCAAGGAACTCTGGATCAAGAGGGAAAACAGTTCCTACTGTGTGCTGGTCATTTAACAGACAGTTTCCAGAGGTGCATGGAGAGAGGGCTATGGGCTGTCTGAGGAGCCTGTGGTTTGACCTCTCAGGGAATATTAAAGTTCCAGGCGATGGTGACTTTTCTCTTCCTTAATGCATCCTGCCACCAGCAATAGCTCTGAACTTGTCAGGTGCAAGATTCGACCTGCCTCTACTGCAGTGAACCCACCTGGCATCCAGTCGGGAGATTATTATTATTATTATAATATGTCTGCATGTCTGGAGACCCAGAAAAATTAGCTGAAAACTCTCAGTAAGTCAAGTGAAGTGGGCTCAGCATATTTCCTTGGAGAAGGGCCAGATAGTAAACCCTTTTGGCTTTGTGGGCTGCAGAGCCCTTGTTTCAGAAGTTAATGATGCTTTGTGTCATGTAGACACCTGTGGGCAGCTGTCAGTGCAGCCAGGGTTTGCCAGATAAATGGAACCCATAGAAACCTGTGGAATATATCTGTGGATGGAAAGAAAGTATTTGGGCCATGTGATTATGGTGTAAGGTACGTCCAGATTGCCCTTTTCTGTTTGTTAGGATGGTCAAACCTCTTCCCCCCACCTGTTTTTCCCCACTGTGCTGTTACACGTGTCCTGAGTGTAGCCAAGGACACATTTTATTAAGTGCCAAGTGAAGAGGTTTCATCTGGGAGAGCTCCAGCCTACCTCCCCCGGGGTCACTGGCTGAGCCTCGCCTCACACTTCCCTTCTTACTTCACAAAATCCATTGTAGGCTAAAAAGCTGCTTACTCCTCAGTTTGCTTCAGACGGAGACAGTTCTCAGCCAGTCTAACTTCCTAGTTCTGTCCCTAGCTGTTCTCACGGACAGCTCCCCAATGAAAAGGTAGAAATCCCGGCCCACCCTGACTCGGGAGCCACCAACATCGCTCAGTAATTTGTAAATTTTTTAAAGGTGTCAACAACAACAACCAAAAAACAAACAAACAAAACCCCAAGAAAACCACGGCTCTCACCTTAAAGAGTATAAGAGAAAGTTTATTCTGGAGACATTTTAAGTGGGAACACAGATGAAAATTCCAAGTTCTGATGTGGAAGCAGTTTCATGAATTTTTATCATTTTATGGAACAAAGAAAGACACAAATCAAGTCAAGTTTGAAATACATTGGTGGGTACATCTGAGGGGCAGGTACAGGAAGATAGGGGAAGTGTTTCTATAGACTATCTGACGACATTCTTAGCTCTTGGGTTGGAAGCCAGTATGTCTGCTAAAACAATAGATTCTGATGGGTCTTTTTAAAATCTATTAGTCACAGGATATTAGCTCAGACACAGAGGTGGGCAAGGGATGGTCGTTCTGGGGGCTGAAGCTAGCCTAAGATCAGAAAATTAGCTTCTGTACCATTGACAGTCCAGTCTCTTCACAGTGCTGAACTTCTAATTGGTTAATCAGTCTGTAAATACAGCTTTTTTTCAGGTATGTTCACAAGAAGGAGGAAGATGGGGGTGGTCTCAAGGCCAGCCTGTAAAGACATGCTCAACCTCAGGGACCCAGCTGATAAGCTGGGCCATCTGTTCACAAGTCAAGAGAACTCAGACAGGGCAACTTCCCTTCTCCACAAAGTTACCTCTAGGGATTCTGACCTAATCTGCATAAACTTGGTACATTGTAGCTCCTGAGAGGTGGAGGCTGTCACAGGATTGACCTGCTCATGAAGGGCACCAGCTCCCCTTCCACATAGTAGGCCCCCATGCAGGACCCCTTCCACATAGTAGGCCCCCCTGCAGGACAGAGAATATACTCAGTCACATGCTGGTTCGTTGTCCTTCTGCCTCTTTCCCCTTCCTTTGTAGCCCACATAAGGCCAGACTGCTGCCTTTATACTTTCTTATTTAAAGTGCCTAGTGTGTGCCAGGCATAGGCTTAGTGTGCCTAAAGCAACCCTCACACTCTTTGTTACTAGCCCTTCTGTATAGTGGAGAAAAACGATGCATAGCAAAGGCAGTTTTCTCCAAGTGGTGGTGAAGTGGGCAGCTGGAATCTGCACTCTCCTCACTAAACAAGCTCGGTGGGCCTGCAGCCAGGTCAGGCAGGACTGAAGCCTCACCTTCCTCAAAATCACTGAACAATCCCCTCCTCACCACCACCTCAAGCTGTTTTTCTAAGTTGTTTGAGTTGGCCATCCAATATAAATGTCTGTTAGTTGCTCATCAGGAACAGTGGGGGCCCAGTCAGTGTGTGTGTGTGTGTGCGCGCGCGTGTGTGCATGTGTGTGTCCCTTATGACTAGGGCCAATGTAGGTAGGATACAGGCCCAGTGTCTCAAAGGCCTTTGACATTTTTCCAAACAAGCTGGAAATTAAGCTTTTTTTTTTTTTTAACTTTAAGACTCCCAGTTTTAAAATGTCTGTTTATTCACTTACCAAAGTGTATGGGTCTCCTGGTGTCACCTGAATCCTGGATGACATTCTGGGGCTTGATCCATTCATCCGCTCAGCTACTTATGCACCCACCCAGCCAGTCATCCTTCCATCCATCCATTACTGCATGCACCAATCCATCCATGCGTCAATCATACAAATGTGTCTGGTCTTCTCATGACATTTCGAACAAATGAAAACTATAGCTAGCCCCATGAGGCTGGCATGAACTGGCCTCTGCGCCCTTCTTGGCATTAGTACTCCAGTTTCTCCTTTACATATTTTTCTCAACTGTGCCTTGCTTCTCATGGTCAAAAATACCTCCCCACACACTCATACTGAAGGAGCTTTGTATTTACAAAATTGCCTCTCATGTTAGACTCAGATAGTCAGATATAATTCTGTGCTGGGGCTAGCATGGGTGGCTGCAGGAGATCCAAGGAGGGATCATGTCCATACAGATCCAGCACAGAGCTGGGGGGAGCACCGTCAGAGGGGAGCATCAGGAGAGTCCTCTGGCTACTGTGGAGATTGTGTCTAAGGGAATAAGCTTGGATCTGCTCCAGATCCAGGCAGAAGCTGAAGGCTGCAGGGTGGGGCAAGGAGATGGAGCAGCTTGGGAAATCATCGGTGGACAAGAAGGCAAGGTCTGCAGTAGACTAAGTGCCACTCTTCCTTGACCAGGGGGAATCTTGGGAGGCCTTAGCTTCCCCATTGTAAAGCAGGCATGGTCATGGTGCTTATCCCTTAAGTTGTTGTGTATGTGGTTAGTTCAAGGGCTTCTCAGAATGGCAGGTACTTAGCTACTTCACCACCTATATCATCACACAGAAGCTAAGGGGAGAGGAATAGATGCAGCATCAGTTTTGTATAGAGAGGTTGAATTTGGGTCTATTTTAGAGTTTACTGGTATGGGAAGTCTCCCAACAGGTTGCTCAGATCTTATAACAGACCAGAGCTTCTCTGATCAGCATTAGAGGGGGAAAAACAAAGAGCCATTTATCTTGTCTGCCTGTAAATGGTCCATTCACTTGCCTGAACCTTCCTTTGGCTTTTCTCATCTGATAGAACACAAGAGAAACCCAAGGGACACTGAGACACCCAGGCTACGTAAGTATAGTTCTGTGTGTTTTCCACTTCAAGCTTCCCTGTGCCAGCAGCAGTTGAGCCCAGTCTCAGAAGAAGCTTCTGGTCTACAGTTGCATATATCCTCGAACGAGTTACCAAGTTTCTAAGCACCGGTTTTCTTGTCTCTAAAGTGGGCAGATCATGCTCACCTCTGAGCTGGTGTGGATTGTTGCTGGGACTCACAGAAGACTTAGCTGCTGATGACTCAAGCCTGTTCTACAAACTGCAGTTATTAGGTGGAAAGTTGACAGAGTTGGCCCACACCCCAGCTTCATTCACTGCTCAGGGCAGATGTGGGCAGCTCTCTGAGGTACCAGTGCCTCTGTAGGGGCTTAGGATGGTAGAATCTTGATAGTGACAACTGAGGTCATGGTTAGGAAGCCAACTGTGTACTTTACGAGAGGATACTTGTCCTGGGGTATCCCATGGTTTGGACTCATGGGTGGAATCTTTGGAGTCCCTGAGCATCAGAAGAAACAGGGCAGTTCTCAGGAACCCGGAGGGAAGGTGGACACTGTTTATCTTGGAGACAGTAGGTCAGGATGTCTTGGTGGGAAGAGAGTAAAACCTCCAGATAGCTGGCTAGGAGTCCCCGGGGCATCACAGTTCCACTTGCAAGAACCACACGCTGATTTGACTTCTAACAACTTGTCTGATGATGTGGGAGTGATGCTTCAGTTGTTAAGACTGAACCCACGTTTGGTTCCCAGTGCCCATGTCAGTCACCTCACAACTGCCTGTCACTCCAGGTCTGGGGGATTCAGGGCACCTTCTGCTGACCTCCATGGCCACCTGAAATTAGAGCATATATCCTACCCACACACACACATAGACATATAATTAAAATTAAAATCTTTAAAAATCGACTGTAAGCCAGGCAGTGGTGGCGCACACCTTTAATCCCCGCACTTGGGAGGCAGAGGCAGGCAGATTTCTGAGTTCGAGGCCAGCCTGGTCTACAGAGTGAGTTCCAGGACAACTAGGGCTATACAGAGAAACTCTGTCTCGAAAACAAACAAACAAAAATCGACTGTGAAAGGGACAACGTTAACTTTTTGCTTTAATTGCAAACTAGTCACGTCGTTTTCTGTTTTCCTCCCCTCCACCCAGCCTTTTCACGTTCCCTCCCTCCGGCCCCTCCCATATTCACACCGTCAAAAGGGGCAACTTTTAGTAGACTTTTTAATGAACCATCAGCTCATCTGTCAAGCATTTACAAAGGGCCTACTATGTTCTGGCTGGCGTTTTAAATGATAGAGTAAGAAGTTAAGACAGCTAAGGTCTTTGAGAACTAATGTTCTAGTTGGGGAAATGGTAAAGGTAGATCCTTCAGCTGGTGGGAGCTTGTCTGGACCTGTGACATTTAATTTATTTAATGTAAGAAAGGAAGGAAGCCTTGTGAAAACCTGAGGTCCTGGTACTCCAGACACAGGAAGAGAATGCACAAGGGTCCCGAGGCAGGAGCAAACTTAGCCTGTGTGAGGCCACAGACAAGTACTACAGAGAGGGCAAGAGATAGTCTGTGTTTAGAGACCTTGTGTGTATGTGTGTGCGTGTGTGTGTGTGTCTGTCTGTGTGTGTCTGTGTGTGTCTGTGTGAATGTGCATATGTGCACACATGCATGGGCAAAGTGCTCACACAGCTAGTTAGGGGGTGCACTGTTGTGATGGAAGAGGTACAAGTTACTGATAAGGTGAAACCTAATCAAGGAAAGACAAGATACAAGAGGACAGGGAAGGTTCTCCAGGAAGAGGAAATAGCATGTGTAAGGGGGAGGCAGAGCCTGGTATGTCCATGAAAGTAGATCCCAGGTCTGATGTTGGGGTTAGGGAGGGGGCCAGTCTCAGGGGATGCATGACAATGAGGCAGAGGGGGAGGCCTCAGTCCACCTAATGGGCACCATCTCAGAATTAATGTGCTGGGGAGGAGAGTTCACGAGGTAATCAGGGAAGCCAAGGAGGGAGGCCAAGGAGGGAGGCCTGAGCCGTTGTCAGAGTGAGGAGCAGTGCTGAAGTCAAAGGGGAGAGTTCCAAAGACCTTGGGAAGAACAGAAAGAACAGGGGTGTATGGCAGCAGTACAGCGCTTGCTTCTATGTCCAGCGTCCAGCCTGGGGACTCAGCACATAGGGACAGACAGGAGGCTGGTGGCAGTCAATGTGTGACTTGAAGGTGGACAGACCAGATCAAGCTCTGACTTACTGGTTTCCTAGCTGTGTGGAACCATTTTCCTGTGCCGCCTCAGTTTCTCCATCTGTCAGGTGAAGACTATAGCATCGCCTGCCTCACAGAGCTATTACATAGACTGTCTACAGAGAGAAGATCTCAGGAAGCAGCAATTACTCAGCTCTCACCCCTTCCTGACTCCTCAGCCTTGACTCCTGTGTTCTCTCCCCAGCTTCTGTGTCCTTGACTACAGGATGGGAAGAATGCCTGCCTTGTGCTGCTCTTATGCCACACATGAGGATGAGACGGCCTTGTCCGCTCCAGACACTTCACTATCTTGTCCTTCTCTCTTTCCAGCAGACGGGTGAGACAGAATGGCGTGGTCCAGGCTGATGCTGGCAGCTTGCCTCCTTGTGATACCCTCTAATGTTGCTGCGGACTGCCTGTCCCTGTGCTCCCTGTGTGCAGTGAGGACTCAGGATGGGCCCCATCCCATCAACCCTCTGGTAGGTCTCAGCAAGACTTCTCCATGTTATTCTATTTGTGGGTGGAGCCCAGAGAGGGGAGGTTGTATATCTGGGCAGCTGTGCCTCTGCTGAAGTGCACAGCATGGACAGCAGGTACCAAGGTCTGATGTTGTCTAGTTCTCACTGCATTCTAGACTTCATTACCATGGCTTCCCCAGGCCTGCACAGAGACCATGTTTCCAGGCTGCCAAGTGCCTGGCAACAGGATGTAGACCATGGGGTGCTTGCTCTGCTGTCTGAAGCGCTGGGTACACATTCCAAAGCTTTCTTTCCTGGCTTATAGGCACCTCCAAATTCAGTCTCCTGGCAGAAGCTGTCCCCTTGACACTATCAGGATCTGCTTCATGGGCCTGGGGCTCTTCTGGGCCTGAGATTTTTCTCCTGGCTTGTTGACGATATTTTGAGTCATGGTTTCTCCCATGCCTCATCTGGCAGAGTGTTCATTGGCCGAGCTGTGGTAGACAACACTCAGGCTTGGCTTCCGGCCCTGTCTTGCTCCCTTCCTCTTGAATTCTTTCCTGAGTCTCATTTTCCTCATCTGTAAAATGAGGGTTGATTCCCTGAGATCATGATCACCAGTGTTTAATATCTGTCTGGTCTGTATTCACTGAGCTACACACAGTGTGTCCACCACACAGTGTGTCCGTGCTCACGCTCAGAAAAACTATGTGGCTAAGCATGGGGACTCCAGCCTCAGACCTTCAGAGTTCAGGTTGCAGTGTTGTCCATCACTGTCAACATCATTATAGTCATGGAGATGACTGAATGCTCCCCACAGCACTATGAAGTAGATCCTGTACCCCCAACACATGCCCCCCTCAGGTGTGCTGAGCCCTCCCAGTCTCCACGCACATTTTTTCTGCTCTTCAGAACCTCTCTGTCTCTAAAGTGTTAGCAGCCTCCTCCTCACCTGATAGCAGTTGGGAGAGCAACTATACCCTTTGAAAGAGTGAAAGCACATGCGTGGGGCAATAGAAAGATCTTGCTTCTGCTTTTGGCTTTGCCACCTGTGTCCCTGTGCCTTTGGGATAACTGCCTAGCCTCTGTAAGTCTAATTTCTCATCTCTCACATGATGAAGTTCTTGTATTCTTTCAGATTTGCTCCCTGGAGTGCCAGGACCTGGTGCCGCCTTCAGAGGGGTGGGAGACATGCCGGGGCTTCTTGTCTTTTCTCACCCTGTCTGCCTCTGGGCTCCGTGTTAAGGATGACTTGGAGAATGAGGTTGCTTTGGAAGAAGGCTACACTGCACTGACCAAGCTCTTGGAGCCCCTCCTGAAGGAGCTGGAGAGAAGCCGACTTCTTACCAGTGTCCCGGAGGAAAAGTTCAGGGCTCTCTCCGGTAGGTTTGGCAATGGAAAAGAATCTGAGCTGATGGGTGCTGACCTGATGAATGATGAAGCCGCACAGGCTGGCACGCTCAATTTCAATGAGGAGGACTTGAGAAAACAGGCCAAACGCTATGGCGGCTTTTTGCGAAAATACCCCAAGAGGAGCTCCGAGATGGCTGGGGAAGAGGGTGGGGGCCAGGATGGGGATCAAGTAGGGCATGAAGACCTATACAAACGGTATGGGGGCTTCCTGAGGCGCATTCGCCCCAAGCTGAAGTGGGACAACCAGAAGCGCTATGGTGGTTTCCTGCGGCGTCAGTTCAAGGTGGTGACTCGGTCCCAGGAGAACCCCAGTACCTATTCTGAAGATTTAGATGTTTGATGCATAACACTTCCCCTCCACGGAGTTGGTCTGCCCCCACCCCTCCTGTACTAAAGCTTCATCCTCTTGTGCTTGTCCCAACGCTCGCTCCGTTGAGCACTCCTACGAAAACACCTAAGCCCACCCCCACCCCACTCCCCGTCCTGTTCAGCCTAGGAGTGCAGTGCTCATTTGCAGGCAGAGTCAGGGAAGAGTGGAGGTCCCCTGCCAATAGGTCCAGTGTCCGGCTCAAACCCCTAGACCTCTAAACTACCACTACTAGTGGCAGCTTTTTCGATATCAGCCCAACCGCTCTGTCCCTGTGACCCCTCTGCACCCCAGAATCCAGAGAAACCTGTTCTTTGTACCTATAGGTCTGTGGTCTCTAAACTTCACTGATCCAGTGCTCCTCTTGGAAGAAAAATGAGCACTCCCTGATAGTATTGCATGTGGACCGTGAGACACACAGTGTAGAAACATAAAACCAGATATATGCTGATGAAGATCTTAACTGTATTCTCAGCCACAGAGGCTCTTATGCACTCTACTCTGGAGGCCACAGGCTAAATGAAAAGCCTTTTCACGGACAGGGATTATAACCCTAGGGAGGCCAGGCTTCTAGCATGCTAATGGTCTGTGCATCCAGAGCCCTCATGGTTTCAAATGTGTCCTGGAAAAGCCCAGCTCCTAGACCCTGGTTAGGGCCGTGCCTTTCCCAAGAGTGAAATCCCCTTGCTCATGATGAAAACCCGTCCTTCTGAAGGCTGAATGATAAGGGGGGGAGCAAAGCAAACTAATTTGTTCTGTACAACACATTCAGAATTTGGGCCAGTTCCCACAGCCCTCATTAAAAGTGATCAGTATCACACTTCTAGCCCATGAGGAACCGAATTGGATCAGCGCTGCTGCGGCTGGGCACAGCTGTGTTCTTCAGTAGTCAGTTGGCTGCGGGAGCCGGAGCCATTTGACTGAGCCATTTGGCCCAGCATATGCACTGGTACTGGGTAGTGGGATCCAGAAGCAGCAGCTGAAGGAGAGCCTGTCCCACCTCAACACAACAGTGAGCCTCATTCTCTATGTCTCCAAATAAAAGCAGAGAAGGAAGAGAACAATTGGGTGTTCAGGGTCAAGTGGACTCGATGGATTCAAATAACCCAGGATCAGAGGCAAGGTCCTCCTCGGTTTCCTCTCCCCACCTCCAGGCAGATAGTTAGACTGACAGGTTAAGGAGATGGGGCTGGACAGGAGAGGAAACAGACTGGATTTGCACATTTGCATAAGATATCTTGAGCGTCCCTCTCCACACACAGGCCACAGCCTGTAGAGCTCTTTGTGTATTCCGAAATGTGTAGATTGTTTTATGGCGACTTGTGTGCTGCTTTAAAAAAAAAATCACATTTATCCAACGTGGAACATGTGAGTCCTTAATAGATTTGTGTAGTTTCCTGCTTCTCTGGTATAATAAATAAAGTTATGCGATGGGTTGCTGTGTTTGCATGAGTATATTTGAGTCATTTCCAGAGAAAGTGTACGGCATTATATATATGCATATATGATCTGTATATACTTAGATAAGCACACACACGCACGTGTGTGTAAGAGGATTGAACCTGGTACCTCCTGAGTAACAGGCAAACACTCTACCACCAAGCCACAGCTCCAGTCCCCGTAGTCATATTACAAAACACAGTGTGGAATAACAGAAAGCAAGACAATGAGTGTTCCACAGATTCTCATCTGTCAATTGAGTCTGTGACTTTGGGCAAGTCATTGACCTCTCTGGACCTTACTTCTTATTTCTATAAAATAAATATGAATAGGGCAGTGTTTGTAGTGTGGCTGAGAGGATCAGATGAAATCAAATGTGTAAAGTTCCCAGCACTTAGATTAAGTTAGTGAGGGTTTCCTTTCCCATGTGGTCTTAAGGAACAGTGGCAAAGTTGGGCATTTGGTAATAAAACAGGGAGGACACAGAGAGAAGTACTGCAGCCTCAGGGCCACTCTCTGTGTAGGGAAACTGGGACAAGTCACAGACGTTCCTAACAAGAATGAATGTGTTAGTGGCAAATATATACTGTCCTCTGCTAAATAGACATCTGTCATTGAATGGTGCACATACATAAGGTGTCTTTATGCCGGATGTGTCAGAGTGTCTGAATGGCTGTAGATGTGGCTTCCAGTGGGACCCTTGCTTAGAGTGACTTTCCAGAAAGTACAGGGCCAGGGGTCTGACATTCATTCTCTATTCATTTAATGAGTGACTGACTGAAAGCCTACTGTATCTGGAGGACCTGTTGCTGGGTGTTGGAAGTGCAGGGAGACAGCGTGGACATGCTATGCTCTCTGTCCTGACAATGACATAGAAATCCAGCTTTGAGACTGCACACCAGACACTTGGCTTCATTCATCACTTTGCTAGCAGGCAAAGTACCAACTGCTTTGTTTAAGTCTTGAGTTTCTTACAGTTTTTATAGTTTGAGCAACTGTGCTGAGCTCTCTGAGCACCTCAGGGTACTCTTTGTGTCCCATGACCACGAATAAGAAGTGACTGTTGTAGTTCAAGCATCGTCCTCCACTTTGGTGGGCCAGAGTGTCATCTCTGTCACTTTCACCCACTGGGTCCTGACCCTGCTGTCTGTCAGCCTGGAATGTTCTCTAGGGAAGACTTTTCTGTCACTTCCAAACAAATGTCTTATGACTGTGGCAGGCAGTTTGTTGGCTTATGTCATGCAAACACTGGTATGGTTTTGCTTCAGGTAGAACTGGAACAAAGCGCTCTCTCTCTGAGGAACTTGAGGACCTGTCCATCAGGAGGCTCCTTCTCTTCAGTGGTGAAGCCTCCTGATAGTTTTTTAGGCTTCTGCCAAAAGTTTGAGGTCTCGCCAACGCAGTTTTCCGTCCTACGCATTGTTTTCACAGTGGCCCTAGCCAGTGCTTTATGCATCTCTTCAGCAGCATCTTGGGTCTTATGATCAATAATGAGCTCATTCCGGTCACCACAGACAGGTTGTGTGGTGCTCTGGTTGGTCAGAGCAGGAACATCACGGGGGTAGGATGGAGAAGGGGCTAGGTCAAGGGCGTAGGGGTGGGGGACAGGTGCATGAGTCCCATCAGGTAGGGAATGTGCCAGACTTCACAGCAGTGAAGCCCTCTCCAGCAAGACGAGGGACTGGTGGGGACAGGGAAAGCTGGCAAGCAGATGCTGTGGGAAACGCACAAGAGACTTCAGACATCTGGCTCTGCATGATGGCTCTCAGTTGGAGCTAAGTAATTATAAAAGAGTATTACAATATGCACAGCTGTGTGCTTGACACCAGGCATCCCTCTCATACCACTTTATGATTTTATTTTTCAAGTTTTGAGAAATAAGAACTACCCCTTAAAAATTCCCCATATGTGGGACTCCACAGGACGACCAACAGAGTCAACTAACCTGGACCCTAGGGCTCCCAGAGACTGAACCACCAACTAAAGAGCAAGCACGGGCTGGACCTAAGTCCCCCATACACATTATGTAGCAAAAGTGCAGCTAGCTCGTCATGCAGGTCCCCAACAACTGGAGCAGGCTGACCCTAACTCTGCTGCTTGACTATGAGCCCCATTCCCCTAACTGGGCTGCCTTGTCTGGTCTCAGTGGGAGAGGATGTGCCTAGTCCTGCAGTGACTTGATGTGCCAGAGTGGCTTGGTACCCAGGAGCGGAAGGGGCTCCCCCTTCTCAGAGGAGGTAGGAAGAGGGGATGTGTGAGAAGGAACAGGAAGGAAAGGGGCTGTGGTTGGATGTAAAGTGAATGAATGAATAAATAAATAAATGAAAACATTTGTCCTATACATTATGGATTTCACAATACTATTGTTCCGACTTCCATTTTCTACGTTACTTTCATGGTTACCAAGAGACAGTCCTATGAGGAGTAGACAACATGGCTCTAGGGGCACAGAGTATTTTGGGCTCAGATTTTCAATCTCTTGAGTGGAGAGAATACTGACTTTACCGCTCAGAGACAGAAATTCAGTAGTATCAAGTAAGTCTACAATACACCTGGCTTGCCTTAAGCTGTGTGTGCTACATACTGCTATGTTCTGAGGGTCCGGGCCCATGGTCTAGCTCTGTGCACCAGCCATGGAAGGGGACTGGACCTCCTCAGAACCTGGTTTTCTGGTGGTGACTCTGATCACGGTGTGTCTGATACTACCGGAGTGAGGCACATGTCTGTTGAATGAACAATATTCTACTGTTTCTGTAGAAGAAATGACATTAAATATTTTTTTCTGGAGTTGTAACCTATGTGCTCTGAAATCCCCTCAAGTGTGGATACTTAGAACACTTCCACACCCTAGAGGACTCAACAAGATCTGTTTTAATGAGCTATTTGTGGGGACAGAGAATATCACAGTCCTTCCAGATTCCTGAACTTCTGTCCCTGCCCAAGGCCACTGTGCAGTGGTCACAGTGCAGACAGGCACTAGCTACCAACATACCAACACCCTGGTAACCTTTAAAAAGCCCATTACTAATAAGCAAGCAGTATCCAGACAGCATGGAATACAGTCACTAGACGGGAAGCTTGTTCATAATGATCATGACAGTCATTAGCATTCTCTGCTTTGGGTCACCCCTCCCCCACCCACCCTCTCCAAGCCCCTCATAGGAACCAGCCTAGCAATGGGGCTTACCTACTAATTAAAGTCTCCAAAGTGCAACAACAAAAATCTCCACATTGGCCTTGGGAACAACTCATCCCTAATAGATGTCAGTTTGACATCCATAACACTACACAGGAGTGTGCAGATTTATAACAAAGATTTATAATTACTCCTCCAGCGTGTAAATGTGCACCCATGTTGCTCTCACGCACAATTTGTCGTGTTGTGTCTAATTTCAGTTGAGTCTGTTATTCGTTCTCTGGAGCTTTTATTACCGCTGACAGGAAATGTGTTTTCTGAAAGCAAGGACCTGTCTTGTTCTCCAATGCTTCCAGACCCCTGCCAGGCCCCTGAGGAGCTGCCCTGAGGTCTGAGAATCCAGGGGAGTTTTCTGATTATTGACAAGATGTGTGAAATATTGAGATTTAGGGAAGGAGCACTGGATAGAGAGTCCAGGCCCATGGGCCTGAGTATTGTTCTAGCTCTGCACAGCAGCCGAGGCAGGGAACTGGATCTCTTCAGTTTTCCATTAAATGCTACTGATAACATTTCAAGCTTTCAGGAGCCCGCACATGACAATTTGCATCAGCAAATTCGGACCAAAGCCACTGAGCTTCAGTTGCCTCCTATACAAATGAAGTCAATGGTTTCTACCCTATGAGTCAGGAAAGTTCTCAGACACGCAGGGATACCGTCTGGCTAAAAGTTGTTGCATAACCAGGGCAGTGTCTTCCCTACCTGAATTCATCTCATTTCTGATGAACACTATTGAGCATCTACTGTATACACAGCATCGGGCAAGGAGCAAGGGATTTATTGGTGCTTAAGCAAAGTACTCTTCCACAGGGTTCAATTTTCAAAGGGGGATAAAGTATCTATCAAAGAACAAACGGATCTGACAAGGGTGGGTGATTGTGAGTGCCAGGAAAGAAAAGAAAGGGAGGAGGGGAGAGTAATGGAGGAAGAATAGCCACTCAGAGCGGTCACAATGGCCTCTCTGAAGGAGTGGCATAAGACCAGAGATGTATAAGGTTGACATTAAGATGTAATTGTCTAGTAGTGTGTGTGTGTGCGTGTGCGTGTGTGTTTTCCAGGCACAGAGAACAGCAAGTCCAAACGCTAACAGGAGAGTGTGTGGTTATTTGTGGTAGAGGAGCAAGCAGCAGGGGCTGAGGGAGGGCAGGGGTGGAAACAGAGCAGATGGGAGCAGATGGCACTGGGCTTCCACCCTGTTCTGCCTTATACTGTTACCCACGTGCGCCTCCAAGGGTCCTGCTCAGGACAGTTTACAACATGTCGCTCAACTCCTGGACCCTGGAAAAGACTCTTAACCCATGGGGATGGAGCTTCTGGAAGGGTGTAATCTGGGCCAGGTCAATTGGCATCGACAAAAGAAGATGATGGAAGGTTCTGGAAGTAACCCAGGAACTTTTCTTTCGTAGTATCAAGGACCCAGTCATAATAATTTCTCCAAAACAGACAGCAAGGGGAATTGGGACATGGGCTCCTGGGTGGTTCAGATTCCCCACAGGCAAGGGGTAGGTCTGGGAATGCTGCAGGTGGAGTTTGCAAACAATCAGCACTTGAGAAGTTAGCTCTCAGGAGACACACAGAGTGCCCACTTCCCCATCCTTCTTAGCCTGAAGACTGTAGCCTCATGCTCTGAGCTTTTATGAAGAAAATCAGTCTCTGAGTTGCTTTATATAAAAAATATTCATCATTGTCAAGTATATATGTATCATATATTTTTTTGCAAGTCAAATTGGATTTCAGTGCATTGGAGACTATTGCTTTCAGTTTCTTTTTTGATTTTGAGGGTTATACTACTTCTTGCCCATTTATAAAGAT